ATGTGCACGAATTTGTGTAACATAAAAAGTTGTTCATAAATCTTTTCTCGTGAAAATTGAGGATAATCATTAATATTATTACAAATCAAAAGCTCACAAATTCTTTTATGAGTAGAGTAACTAAGAAACATCGATAAATGGGTTGGGGAGGAGGAGAGGCAATGCTTATACGTATATACGTACTTACTAATAACAAATAATGTCGAAATAAAATATTAAGGCACAGTAAGAATATGTATGGATACTACCCCTCCCTTAAATATCGAGCTGGCTAATCCAATGTTTATAGCTGTACATCTGTCTCAGAACAACCAGTTTTTGACGAGAAATCGCTTACCATTGAAACCAAAGAAATGTTTGACCAACCTGTAAAAATGAAAAACAAAAAGTTCTTCAAAAACAGTTACCAAAAATATAATGCAAACTATTGAAAAATTAAAGAAATATTCATTTGCTGGTTTATGGGTTACAACAATATGCAATATGCGCTGTTAATCGGCGTTGAAGCATTTCAGCAGCGCCTTACATTCACTGGCGATAAAAATTAAAAAACTCTGAAGAAAAGCGAACAACAACAGCAGGTGCACAAATTTATCAATTTTTTGTCAGCCTTGCATTCCAGAACAACTAAAGTAAATTTTTTTAAGCGTGTTTACGTAAGCTGTCATAAGTATAGTCTCTCAACTAAAAGTTTACCATCTCTAAAAGCAGCAAAACCTACTTGATAGAGGGAAAAATATAAGATCCACATAAACGAAAACGAGAAAATACTCCGCCATCCTTTGCTGACAATACACATTACACTAAGATAAACACCAATAATGCACAACAAACTCATTCCCGTTTGGGCTGTAAGACCAAGATCATCGATAAACCATAAAAGGGTCGGTCTACGACGAATGTCTTCCATCAAAGAAGCTTTGTTATCTATAAAACACCAAAGTGACTTCTGCATTAAAATCATCGACACCGATTAATCAACTTTCTCTTTCAAAATCAAAGAAGCTCTTCACATCAATTAAACTAATATTGATCTTAGTGTTCAAATTCACCATTACAACACTTCGCATATTTGTCAGCAAAGATTTACCGGTATTACGTAACATAGACTTCAACAAGAAAAAGAACGAAGCATAAAATATGAATGACGTGCAATGTGCCAATCATACCAGTTTTTTTTATAATACATTCTTAAAAAGCAGCAAAATGACAATATTGACTTTTGAAAGACTTTTTAAAAACTATTTACAGACCTTTCACTGACTATTTGCTGATTAATACTAACTAAGCATCTTAGTAAGTTTCTGAGACATCAACTGTTTTTATGGAATATAACATTCATATATGAATATTGGCTCCCCTCTCTTTCTCCATACAATATTCAGCAGGACAACCCAATTAGCACTAAGAGCAATGACATGTAATAGTTTCCACTATTAACATTGAAAAAAGACATGTTATTTATTACATAATCTAAATTAGCTAATTTAGCTAACAAAACAGTAGTTTATAAAACATATGTGCACAACATAGGCGGCGCAGAAATCTGTTTAATTTCTTTATTTAATCGATTTATGTAATTAGCACATTAAATAGTAAATATATTATTTGATTGATGTGCAATGTTTGACACGCACGCGATCTGGCATGACTTCCATTGTATGCTAATACTTGATCTTTAATCATATTGTAAATTAAAAAGTCATGAAAATAATCAAACCTAATAATAAAAGTTTTATACTCTAACTGATCGAGATAAATGGCATGTAGCACAGACCCTTGGCATCTAGCACACAGCTTAATTACTAACACATCATACCTCTTCTTAGGATGTTCCTAACAGGCAGTAATCCATTGTCACCAAACAAGCCTACAAAAAAAATGCTTGGGTGGTAGTCTCTTTTTCAAACCAAATAAGTAAAAAATGATTGCGTTATTAATATACATTCTCAGTAAGCAATACGTAGCAGTCTACATAGAAATAACTCTTCTTTAAAAGTATGAGGATATGTAATTGTTACAATCTTACACTAACCAGACATATGAAAGGCACTTTTGCTGGAAACTTGGAACAAGAAAACAAATGCATGAAAAGAAATACATGGAAATATGTGCATAAAACAACTTTTTTTCTTACTCCACCATTTAATGAATGTCAATCATAGTTATTTATTAAAGACAGGCAGTGGCATAGCAAATAATACATTTTGTGCTGCTCTGTAAAACTACCATAACCACTTATTGCAAAAACAATAAAATTTCAATAGAAATAAATAACTACAATGCATTCACATTGGCCTCACAGAGCCAAAACCTATACACATGCTAACTATGCCATTGATCATAGGATATAACCAGCAACAAAAAAATTCACTAAAATCTTAAATGATGTTCATGTTAGTACAACTAATATATATCCAAAAACGACTTTTCAAAAAAAACTTTCTCAAAATTTATACGCTGTACACAAGTTGAAGCTACATAGCTTGCAAAAAATTTACCAGCCAGAAAAACTAATTATTTTCCATACAAAAAGACTATTACGTATAAATCATGAAACAATACATGCTCATCAAATAGGTCAACTGAAATGAGCCCTCAGAATGTCTTTACGAGATAATTGTGATTCATCAATTGTCTGTCATGCATGTCATTTACATATACTTCACAACAATTGTTTCACCTTCCTGTATTTTGATTTGAATACTTTATGGCAACTAAACCAGCCATGCTTTCACATAAATTTAGCTATTTACATTTGCATATCATACCTCACAATCACAATTTAAAGTCACAACTACACCAAATTTGAAGTGTTGCTCTTTACCAGTTTGCAAAAATAACATGTCAGATTGACAATAACAAAGGGTTACTTTTCCTGATATAAAGTAGTTGTACTACCTACTGCAAATTATTATTAAGATAATATTAAGATCTTATAAAGAAATTACTTATATCTTTTTAAAATCTTCAAGATCTTAAAATAAATTTATACCACATTTTAAAAAAATCTTGCTTCAATTCCGAATTGTACTAAATAATGATACTCCTTAAGATCTTATTTAAGATCTTAAATACAAATAAGACTTACATGGTTCCATGAGATCTTTTGGTGTAGCCAAGATGTAAACCATAGAATATATATATTGTTAACATAACATTTTAGCAGGGAGAGACACACCAATTCCCACCTTTGCCTATCTCATTGATAATATTTTTACAGAACCTTAATTAAGATTTCTACCAGGGTTAAGGGAGAGCTAAACAGAATACAAACTTTTTTTGATGTTGGTCAATGTAATGGAATTTAATTTTGCTAGCCTAACCTGGGTTCATCATGATCGAATCAGGCATCAATAGGAATTGATTTAACCTGGAGTTTTAAACCAAGACACAAACGCTATGTTTTTCTTCCACTCCACACTCAGAAATAAAGAAGCCTTACACATTAACTAACTTAAGCCCGCTCTCAATAAGCCAGTTCACCACGTTAAAACCATTTTTAGTTTGTAATCTAATTATAATAAATTCCTCAAAAAGGTACCTGGTATCTGCATGTAAAGTGATGCAAACGCAAACAAATAAATTGAACCCATGCTCCACAAAAACATTTCCTTCGCCAAACCACACGGCCACATGATCGACGTGTAACAATAGAAATTCAACCAAACAGCTGTTCGGTTATTCGAAATTGCGTTGTTGTTGTCAATTGTTACAAATTAAAAATATCACTATCCGCGCCCGCAAACGTTCATATGGACTATCCGTTAGCAATTACTTTGTTTAACGTAGATTTTAAGATAATGTTCGAGTTTCGAAGTCGACCAGAACATAAATGTTGCCTTGATGCTTTATTCTATCGGCAAATGTATGCTATTTGATGATCACTGAGTTTGTAAAACAAAGTTTTGTGGCGCTGTAATGATAATGCTTATACGCCATATTTCCTTCTAACTCTATATTATGGTTGGATTAACTTGTTTACTTTGAACCATTCTTGAGTCTTGACTATTTAATAGCTGCCGAAAAACATGATTACTCGTGATAAAACATGATAAATGCTAATTAACTTAATTTTGAAATCTCAATGCCCATTTCCTAAAGGGTTACTACGATTCAGGATTAATCTTTATAGGACATTATAAAATTGAGTCACCAATATGCAGCAAGTACTTTCTCAACTGTTTTCAACATACTCATAATTATTTACTGCACGTTCTGCAATCTAAGGAAACTGCATGTTTTGTGGCAGGAGACACGTTGTTGTATATTGCTCAGTGACACGTAAGAAAAAAAATAATATTTTTCAACAAATTAAACTTGTGCAGAAAGTTCACGTTATGACGCAAGCCAACAAGCAAGAGTGGCTTACGTCAATTTTTGTCCCAACTTCCTACTTCTGTTTCAAGCACATTGTGAAATTTAAAAAGCTGAAGGATAACGTGAATATTTCAATGCTTCATAATAGCCGATAAAAGAAAAAGAAAAGTTGATGATGAATGTCGGCGATTTCAAGAAGAGTGGAGTGTAAAATACTTCTTCATCGAATCTGCGAATCAAGCATTGTGTGTCATCTGTCATGAGAGTGTTGCAGTATTGAAGGAATACAATTTGCGCCGCCATTACCAAAGCAAACACCAGGGAACCTTCTCACGGTTTGAAGGAAATATACGCGAAGAGAAATTTGAAAAGTTAAAGCAGTCCATTAATTCTCAAAGATCAATTTGCACAAAAGCATCAAAACAAAATGAGTTGATAACGAGGGCTAGTTTTAAAGTGGCTTATATTCTCGCTAAAAATGGCAAGCCTTTTAGAGATGGTGAGATAGTAAAAAACTGTTTGCTAGAGATTGTGGATGAACTTTGTCCGGAAAAATCTAATGTTATTAAAACTATAACATTGGGTGCCAATACTGTTGCCCGGCGAATTGGAGACATGAGCACAAACCTAATGGAGCAAATTGCCAGCCATGCTAAGAATTTTGTGCATTTTCTGTAGCAATGGATGAGTCAACAGACATGTGTGGCACCTCCCAGCTGCTAATTTTCATTCGAGGTGTGGATGCCAATTTAAATATCACTCAAGAGTTGGCTTCACTGAACAGTATGTACAACACAACGACTGGAGAAGACTTGATGAGAGAAATGCAGAAAACATTTGAACAATATAGTTTAGATTGGAATGGACTGAAATGCTTAACTATTGATGGGGGAAGAAATATGTGTGGTGTGAAGAAAGGATTGGTGGGAAAAATCAAACAATTTTGTGCTGAAAAAGATATTTCAGAACCAATGTTTCTACATTGCATATTACACCAACAAGCTCTTTGTGCTAAGTATGTGGACATTAGCTGTGTGTTGTACCCTGTAACAAAAATGGTGAATTTGATAAGATCACATGTGCTGAATCACAGACAGTTCAGGGAAATGTTAAGAGAGACTGAGACAGAATCTGTTGACATGCCATATTACACTGCAGTAAGATGGCTAAGTTGTGGAAAAGCGCTGTCAAGGGTTTTTGAGCTAAGAAAGGAAATTGCTGAATTTCTTGCAGGAAAAGGGAAGCATCAAGCATTACTGTCTGATAAACTGTGGATATGTAAGTTGGCTTTTACTGCAGATATCACTGGCCATATCAATAGTTTAAATCTGAAGCTACAGGGAGAAGAAAACCTCATTAGTGATTTTTTTACACATCTAAAGGCCTTCAGACACAAACTAGACCTATTCCTGAAACAAATCCAGGTTATGAATTTCACACATTTTAAAAACTGTACAGAAGCTATGGTAGAAGCTACCACAGATTTTCCACTTTCATTTGCATGTGGGATTATTGAAGAGCTTCAACATCAATTCCAGGAGAGATTTGCTGATTTGCATGCAAAAGCAGATGAGTTGAGACTCTTTCAAAATCCATTTCAAGTGGATCCAGCTGCATGTCCAGACAGTTTACAATTAGAGGTGATTGAACTACAAGCATATGACTTGCTGAGGGATAAATTTAAAGAAGGGCTTGTTCAATTTTACCAATTTTTACCTAAAGAGAACTATCAAAATTTGAGGCATTTTGCTGCAGGACTGCTATCTATGTTTGGCTCTACATACCTGCGTGAAAAAACTTTTTCTAGAATGAAGTATGTGAAAAACAGTTATAGAACAAACATGTCTGATGAAAATCTGAGGGCTCTTCTAATGCTTGGGACCTCAAAACTAAAGCCAAACTTTTTCACAATTTTGTCATCAAAAAGCCAATGTCACCACTCACATTGAGAAAACTGAACAGACTAATTGTGATTTTGTCATGATATTACTCTTGGTTGAAATTCAACCTTTAAATTATGAATAAATATTTTCTTAACTAATGAAGCTTGTGTTATGTACTTCGTTTTATTAAAATATTCGCTCTTTGACCAGTGGTATATGGTTCGTCGGCCCTCAACATGCTGGATTAAAGTTCATGTGGCCCTCTGGCTGTAAAGTTTGGAGACCCCTGAGTTAAACGATGGTTAAAATTGCGTTGCACGAACAACGTTTAGCTTAGCGTTTAACTATCAGCATGATAGGATCAAATTTAAACGAGCGAAACAAGGAAAAAAGCGGTTTTTGCTATTTAATAACTTGGCAACTAGGTGGGAAAACTCGAGAAATATACTTTTAGTATATTTAATACAGTCAGTAAATTTGTTTACCTGGTGAAAGCTTTCGGATGCAAAAAAATTGTAGCATTATGAAGGCTTATTTGTCCAAGACGCTTGATGACTGCGATTTTGTGGACTTTCTTCGTTTTTGATACGACATGGCGTAAAGAAACTCCCGAAAAGACATGATATCTTCATATTAAATACAGAATATGATTCAAAGTTTCATACAAGTCTTACAAGACTCCGATAAATCTTAAAATTGTCAGGAGACCGATTAAATTTACTAGGTGGACTGGCAAAATTTAACCGGTAGGTGGAGTTAAACGGGCTTCGTAAAGCGCATTTTTTAAAGCGTTTAAAATTTATACAGTGGAGGGCGATTTAAACACTTATTTCAAATAAAACTTGAACAAGCATCTAGCACGAAAGTTGAAGTATGACGAAACATGATCAAAATGCAGCTATCTCTGTCATCGGTAACTCTACTGTGGTATGGAAAAATTGCATGGAAATACCTAAAATTGTTGGAGTCTTAGTTCAGAAATACAAACTGATTAAATAATCTTATTAACGATCATAAATTGATCAATCCGTTAAAATTACAAGCCTTTTTTACGTGTGATTCGGAGTAAAACCAGTATTCTTTTTTTATACGGCCGATTATTCTTTCGGACTCGCTTTACTTTCGCCAAAGGTTGTTTTTCATCTTCTGCGTTATGTTAAAGCATAATTTGGCGATGTGTTGCTATATTTTCGATAGTTTTGTTAAAAAGTCTTTCGATCATTGAGTTCTATAAGACCTGGAGGGGAAACGTCATCAAAATTACTATAAATTGTTAGCGCGCGGCCGCGTGGTCAAAAACATGGCAGATTTTGGTGGTCAAAGTCAGCGGAGAGACGCGGGCTCATGAAGTAAAATTTTTCTCCCTCACCCTGATTTTACCACCACGATTAAGAGTATAGAAAATATCAAAACTATTTTCCTAATATAAACACTTTTTTAAAATTTTATTTATTAAACAATGTGCAAACTTCATACTTGTTATGATTCCAGGTGATCCACAAATTCACATCGGATGCATTGGTTACAATGAAGTTGAATGTAGAAGAAGCAAAAATAGATGGCAAAGAAATTCTTTGTGTCTTATGAAGAATAATTACTAATCAATAAAAAGAATTCTTTAAACAAATTGTAAACAAATTTAAATTTGCTCATGGTCAAGCAACCTAGTCAAAGAAGCAAAGTCTGTCTTCAATATGTGACCTTTCCAATTATGTTTAGTTTCTTTGTACAAAATACTTTTTCAAGATTCTTGATTTGTAAGTCTTTCATAAATATTTTTTTACCAAGAGATAAAAGAAACAAATTCAAAAGGCTTGATGGAAAATACAAAGATTTATCAAGTTTTTTATCATTTAATTCCCAATTGTTAATTTGTACATATAATTAGTATTGTTAGCTGTAAATTGTTCAAGCAAAACAGAAGAGTAGTAGTGCTCGAAGGGGTTAGCATTTTTGAAAAATTATATCTTGTTCTTGACATACATTACACAATTCCAAAAGACTGTAAGTAATACACAATAATATCTATAGTACTTGATAAATTTCTTCGCCTACACTGTCAATTACCTATTTTGCCTTCATGCAGAGATAGACAGAGTGTTTTTGTCAGAGAAACTAATGCACTTTAGTTTCCAAGTTTGTAATTTCAATGGAAAATTAATGTAGTTCTGTTCAGTAATAGATGTAAGGTTCTATCAAGCAGTTTACTAAATACAAATTTCCAACAAACAGTATCATGGTGTTTTGAATTTTTTTTCTTTTTCGTAGTTCTTCTAGTTCAACATACTTTCTTTATGAGTTTTCAGTAGATTTATCAGGTAAAGACAATACACTTATGATACTTATCAATGGTAAATTTTCAGTTGACTTATGTCGTAGAACTGAAGCAAACAATTTCTCGCTTCCTTAGGAGCATTTTAACACAAATTTATCCATTTGAGCAAGAAAAATAGTTGCACCAAACTGTTTACAAAGAGTAAACAAGCAGAAGCATGAAATAATGTATAAGTTTGACGAGATTGACAGGTCTACTAAAGAATGCCGTTTGATTTTCACTTTTAAAAGGTTAAAATGCCATAAAATAACTTACAGGTTGCAGCAGACATATGCGTTTCTCTACCGTCGATTTTCTTTATCTTGATGTGTGTGTACTGTGTTTTCACGCAATGCTGAAGCATTATTTTCACATGATATGCTGTCGGTAGCGTAATTGTTTTTTCTCACTTGTTATCGTTCGTATAAAAAATCAGGAGGGAGTGAATATCGAAAAAAATTTTCAAAGGGGAAGTTTTGACCACCGAAATCCGCCATTACCACCATGTTTTTGACCACTGAGTCCAGGCCCCTTTTCCCCTCCAGGTATTATAGAGCTCAATGCTTTCGATGTGTTGGTTTCTTAGTAACGGCGGCGGTGGAATCAAAATTTGCTTACTACAAATATAGAGTTGCTTGATCCAGTCTTTTTTCGAGATCAGTGGATTTACAGTGTTTAATGACTTAAACTCCTTTCGTAAAACCTGGCCAGTAAACAAGGCTTTCGAAAATCAGAAGCGCTTTACTAGGGTACGCGTCTGCAGAGAAATTTGTCGGAAACGAATTTTAGAGTTATTCAGAGTGAACAAAAAGTTCTCATTAAAGGACATTAATCATGAAAAATCTTATTCACCAATCTTATTGTTTATGGAATGCTTCATTTTCTATTATTGCTCACCAATTGCCTAGAGATGCTGAGAGAATTTAGCTGATAATTCGCTATAGGCAGCCATTTTCAAATTTCCCGTTACGCCAATTTATGCCGAATATATTTTCTATATATTTCAAACCTATAGGGTTTGCACAATTCTTTCTAAATAAGATAAGTTACGTTCCTCATTTATAGAACGTTTTGACAGCAAAAATCATAGCTATGCAGCTGAAATTAATAAATACCTGTACGGCAAGTTATTAGCAATAGTGTACAAATTATTTTGCAAAATTATTTGAAGGCGTAAAAAATAAACAAATTTTACTACAGAATATATCACAAACAGATATTTTGATGTGAGAAAGCGCTTGAGACAAGTGGTAAATGTGAAAAAGTGCTTGCACGAGCTGGCAAGTACCCTGTGTGCGCCTTTCTGGCAGCCTCTTGATTTCGGCCCTGCGACTGAAAACAATTTCCAATACATTCGCATTGCCGAGCGCGCGGAGCGTACACTTTTGAGCATGCGCTATAAACTAAGTCATTGGCGTCTCTCGGACGCCGCGGAGATTGGCGCACATGCTTTGAAAAATGAAAATTTTCAACTTTTTTGGCGATGTCGCGAGAATCATGGTTCGCATGACTAAATTCAATAAATCGCACAAGATCACTATACAGTGGAAAACAAAAACATGGCAGACAAGTCATATGCTAGTACACAATCTTTTGAAAGCCAGTGCTGTAGAAGTAGGGGGGGGGGGCATTTGGGTGAGGAGCCCCCTTCTTCAAGTTTTGTGGGGGCACCCCCCTTCTACCATTGAAATGGTAATTTTAAAAGGGCAATTTTGACTACAACTTGACTATATTTTCATGAAGTACAATCAAAATTATTAAAATTACGTTTATGATAAGTCGGTAATTTTTCTTGTCTTATTGTTTTACATGATCATGCCACTATCATCCAATTACGCTGTGTAGGTTTCAAACAGAATAACATAGATTAAAACTTACACGAAGGACTGACCATGGCTGCTTATGATTATAAAGTTGCGTGGGCGCAGGTAACCAACAAATAATTACTGCAAAATAATGACTGCTTAAATGAACACTGTGAATATGTCTAAAAGTAAAGCATGCATCTCTGTTAGACTTTCGTGCCAAAAGCAAAGAAACCAAAGAAAAACCATTTGAAGATTTAAATGAATACATAGATGTGCAAGCTGAAACTTGTATCTCGCAAAAATCTAACAGTTCAACAAGCACAATGAAATAAATTACGATGTTTTCCACGTTTCAAAAGCTGTAGCCAAAGGAGGAGTCAAGAATGTGGCAATTAGGCTCTTGTCGATTGTGCTAGCATAATTTTTTGGCATAATCTGAGGAATTGAGCATAATTTTTGCCCTTTTCCAAAAAGTAGCACTGCTAGCATAATCCGTATATTTTCTTGTCTTAATAGCACAATTTTAGAATAATTCAAGAAAACGAAGATCTCAGCTACTAAAAACGATAGATTACTATTAAGAGTTGCTTCCACTCCTATTTTTCGATTTTTTTTTACTTGTGTTGAGATACCGTGGGAGTTCGATGAAACGGAACCGGAAGTCTGTGTCTCGGTCCCAGACTCCTTAGTCTTTCTCCCAGTGCTCGTTTCAAAATGGCGGCCGCCACGCCAAACCAGTCAAGTGCAGTGAACTTACATCCAGATAGTTTACAAGGTTGCGAGAACAGAGAGGATAGACCAAAGCCTGCACAACTTGCCCGGGATAGACGCCTCGAATCCACCACTGGAAAATACAAGAGGAGGGGGACGAGTAATGTCACTAATGCGAAAAATGTCCCTTTGCAAGATCGTATTAATCAGTTCCCTGATCAGCACCTGAGTGT